ATAAATGCACAGACCATAGAGCACCATATTGTGTAGCTCTTAGTGTCAGAACCCAGTGTATTTTCTTGGATGAGCCTGAGTTCGTCTAATTTCTCAGGTTGCCACAAATTGGTAGGATTAGAGATGGTATCCAAAGAATGACATCTCTAAATTTCTATCAACATAAATACTTCTTCATATTTAATCTATGGAGAACACTGCTCCCTGGGCACCCAAAATATGTTTGATTGAGGTTTAAATAAAAGCCACAAAGGACCAGCCCCCAGTATCACTGTTAAATCCTATAACTCAGGTGTAAAAATACAAGGATTTCCATCTAGCACAGAGAGTTCAATCCCAGGGTTCAATGAACTTCTTTTTGTGAGTGAATTATCTCACATGCTATCTGAATATCTATAAACCCACACCCTGTGGCCTTGCTGACACTATCAAATCTTTATTGGCCATCTATTTGTAGTTAATGTAAGCTCATACTTTGATTTTTAAGTCAGCTTGCCTCCATTCCCCAGTCAATGCTAACTCAGTGGATTAAAAATAATCAACTTTAGGGGCGCCTGGGTGGCTCAGTTGGTTAAGCGACTGCCTTCGGCTCAGGTCATGATCCTGGAGTCCCAGGATCGAGTCCCACATCGGGCTCCCTGCTCGACAGGGAGTCTGCTTCTCCCTCTGACCCTCTCCCCTCTCATACTCTCTCTCTATCTCATTCTCTCTCTCAAATAAATAAATAAAATCTTAAAAAAATAATAAAAAATAAAAATAAATAAAAATAAAAATAATCAACTTTAATATCAGCCCAAGAAGAGCAGACTTGGAAAGATAAATGTGGTGGTAAAGGAGTGGTGCTTTACAGATAATTATAAGATCACATTTGATTTATTTATATTTCTTCTTTCCCAGTCCTACAGAATTGGAATATTCCTCAAAGCTATCTTCAGTTTTATAATAGAAAGCCACTTCAGAATACTCCACAGCTGTCTTAACAACTTCATACATGGAAACTAAGGTCTGAGTGATCAGGTGACCTGCCCAAGGTCAGAAGATCTAATCAGATGTGAAAGCTCCCGATCTAGAATTCCAGATTAGGCCATCCTAAGAATGGAATGTGGGTGACGACAAGAAGGACAGGGAGTGAAACCCAAGTCACCTGGTGATACGGGAGATGCTTGGGCTTCAAGAATGGATGCAGATATGACAGGTTCAACTCTCAGTATCAAAAAACCATTCTATTCCCGTGCTGTAAATGTAGTAACCACTGCAGTGCCTTCTGGGCTGCTATAGCCACACCCCCTGCTAAAGAAACAATAGAAAGAGCAGCCCCACTTTCCATCTCTTATTGTGCCTGAGGAGCAGGCTATGAAGTGCAACACACACTCCACAAATGTACAGGATCCTGAACAACCAGAAGAGCCCTCTGAAAGCAACAGGAAAACCTCACCTCCACAACTTACCAATGAGGAAACTCGGGCACACAAGAGAGGTGTCTTCCAACAGTGAGCACTCAAGCTAAGGCTACCATTGTGTGTCTTGAATCTGCACCTCATGCTCTTTCACTACCATTCTCCACCATTCAGAAGGCTGGCTGGAGATTTGACCCCTTGTTTTTCAGTTAAGTTTTGTAGGAGTGAGGATAAGGAAAAGGATCCTAGTTTTTAGAATTCCTAATGCACATATACTTTCATGGTTTCTTCCACCTGCTGGATCTTTGGGCTGTTTAGTGTCTGGACCAGGCTCAGAAAATCTACCCCATGCATCTCCAAGGTTGAAGACTAGAGACTTCACATTCCAGTTATGTTTTCATTGCAGGCACTGCAGGGCTTTCAGAATACTCTAGTGGATACTTTATTTCCTTCTTCTTCCTCTGCCAGAACTCATTTTGATTCATACTAAGATAGCAGCCCCCCAGAACGCTAAAGGGATCAGGCGTTGATACCTGTGGGTAAAGACCACAGAGGTAGGAGGCAAGGCAGCTGCAGGCCAGACTGGCTTGATTTGTGGAATCTGCTTATAAATCTGATGGAAAATAAGGCAATGGAGATAAATATTTAGCATTCTTTTAGCCTTCCTCCTCTTTCCTTGAACCACAAGCAAGCCTGTCACTTCTACTACTCAGATAAACAAGCCCTTTCCTGCCGCCTTAGCCTCTAACTGGCCAGAAGGAGCACTACGTTGGGGCCCAGACTGAGCATGTGGGCAAGGGCCAACAGAAGCTTTTCTTGCCTGGGCCAAGCCAGTCCCATCTGGCTTAAGAGGGACTTTGGAGAAGTTGATCCAAAGGATCCAAACTAGGGGTGGCTTTGACATACAACTGGCCCTGATGGTTGAGTACTATCAGAAAAACGTGCTTAGGGGGCGCCGGGGTGGCTCAGTCAGTTAAGCGTCTGCCTTCAGCTCAGGTCATGATCCCAGGGTCCTGGGATCGAGTCCCGCATCGGACTCCCTGCTCAGCGGGGAGCCTGCTTCTCCCTCTCTCTCTGCCCCGCCACCCCCCGCCCGCTCATGCTCTCTCTCTCAAATAAATAAATTTTTAAAAATCTTTTAAAAAAAGAGAAAAGAAAAACATGTTTAGGATCAATTTCTCCAAACTCCAAATTATCACCTTTCACAAATGTTTTTCATCATTCAGTTGATAGCATAATAGGAGTATAACATACATAGTGTCTCCTGGAGTTCTTCAACACAAAACTCTGCATTTACCCAACACAGTACAATTGGTTAAATCATTCAAAACTGAGGAGACAAAAGCTAATCATTTTGAAGCTTTCTCCAGAAAGCAAATTGGCTTAAAATATGAGCATTATATGTTCATTATTGAGATTTACCTATGGCCATAACATATATTTTGAAACAGTTTTCTCTTAAGCTTGAGAATCTGCTACAATTTGTTGTCGGTAGAATTCTAACATAGCCTAGAACTATATACATATAATAATTTTAGTTTAGGCCAGTGTTCTGGAAATAGCACCACATTTCTGTCTTTTGTAACCTGACATTAAGCACCACTGCCATTTACTATGGCTGAGGCTATACGATGTTAACAGCTATAGCAGGAAAATTAAAACAGGCTTCCTTTTCATTTATAATTTTTGCCAGTAACTTAGTCCATAAAAATCTACAAGTGCAGGTTTGAAAAATGTAATCACTATCTTCAAGTTGATTTGCTCACGGCCGTTATGAAGAAAATTAGCTGTATGGATAGGTGGCTACCGCCAGAAAGATTGCAATTATACCTGAGGAAACAGAATGAGTTGCAGGTGGAGACAATTCTTAGAAGTTGGGACACGACAGAGACTGATGAGGGCTAAAGAAGGCAGGAGCTTCGGCAGATCCTTCCGTTCCTGAAAACTCACCCTTACAAGTCGCATTCACAACATGATATAGCTGGAATCTAGAGTAGCCAACTCAGCTGGTGTTCTAAGCAGGAGAAAGTAGAGAAGGGCATCTGAGCTGAGGGGGTAAGAGCAGTACCCTCAGGAAAAGAGGCTGAAGTCAAGGGATGGGTGGGAACCCCTTCACCCCATCCCCACTTTCCTTTCTTGCCCAGAGGTGAGTGTCTCCCCAGCTAAATTCTACCCTAACCCCTCATTATTTTCCTAGTTAGGAAACTCAGAGAAATTGTAAGAAATTCAAAAATAAAAGACTCATTTTTTTTAACCTGGGAAGATTCCCCTGAGGTTTCCCAGTCTACCTCAACCCTTCATTCGCTAAGGGCGGGGGGGGGGGCAGGGGGGGAATATGAGGTCATGAAGGACACTGAGGTAAATCATAAAAGAGTGAGCACAAAAAATGTGCCAGAGCTTAAAACAGATTTCAGATCCCCGCACTCAGGACTGGACTTTTACCACTCTACACGGATGTTTGTGCAAGTAGGTGCTTTGTGGGTGGGTGTGTGCACTCATCTCCCTCTACTTTCATTTTCCCTGTTAGAAACTGGGTCCAAGAAATGATATGCTAATATAGAGCATCGAGTGCCCAACCTGCTCACTCATCTGTTATTATCTGGCTCTTCCCAACCAGATGGTAATTTCCTGGAGGGCCTGGTCAGCTTCTTTAGGTCCTTCATTAGCACAGCCCAGAAGTAGGCAGAGGGCAGTAGCCACATCTAAAGTCAGAAGTATGGTGGGCAATTGAGACTGGCTAAACCTAGCCTGGTGGGAAGGACAGAATGAACTGAGAGAGACGGACACCTTCATGAGAATAAGAATTTCAGGACTTCGTCTACTTTCTTTCTTCATTACTGTATCCCTTCCACTAGACCAGTGTCTGACACATATCAAAATTCATGTTTGCTCAATAAAAAAATAACTATAATTTCACCTATAACATTGAGGGACGCCTGGGTGGTGCAGTCAGTTAAGCATCTGACTCCTGATTTCAGCTCAGGTCATGATCTCCGGGTTGTTGGGATCAAGTCCCTCTTCGGGTTCCCCACTTGGCAGAGAGTGCACCTGAGATTCTCTCCCTCTCCCTCAGCACCTCCCCTCCCGTTCTCTCTCTCTGTCTCTCTCTCTCTAAAATAAATAAATAAATCTTTAAAAAATTAAAATATAAAAATATCACTGGATCTAAAAGAAATTTTTATAGAAAAATAACCACTACAAATAAACTGGGTATAAATAATTTAATTGTAATGCCAAAAGTACAAGTAGGGCTGGGAAGTCGTTTCTAACAGTGTTAGATAGGAAGTATCAGGGTTCCCAGCTCTCTGCTCAGTGGGAACACATTTTTAGTTCTATCATTAGGCAGGACGCTGGTTTTCTCTATAAAAGGGATATAAAGTTCTTTGCTACACATAGCAAGCAAAACGTTGATCCATCAGAGTGAAAATAGGACAATAAACCCAATAAAGAAAACCCAGTCATTGAAAACTCAGTGTGGCTGGCAGATAACGGCCCCTGAAAGACATCTATGTCCAAATCTCCAGAACTACGAATATGTTAGTTTTTAATAGTGTTAACATAGCAAAAGGGAATAAAGATTGCAGATGGAATTAAGCAACTGACCTTAAAACAGGGAGATTATTCTGGATTATCCTGCGAGTCCGATGTAATCACAAAGACCCTGAATGTGGAAGAAAAAGGCACAAGTATCACTGCCGGCATAAGGAGTGGGAGAAAAATGACATGGCTTTGCAGATGGAGGAGCCCCAAGCCACAGAACGCAGGCAGTCTTTAGAAGCTAAGAAAAGGCAAGAAAAAGGATGCTCCCCTAGAGCCTCCATCAGCAATGCAGACCTGTCTACCCATCTTAGACTTCTGACTTCCAGAACTATAAGATAAAAATCTGTGTTGGTTTAAACCACCAAATGTGTGCTGATTTGTTACAGAAGCAGTAGGAAACTAACACACTCGGGGCGCCTGGGGGGCTCAGTCGGTTAAGCATCTGACTCTTAATTTCAGCTCAGGTCATGCTCTCAGGGTGGTGGGATCGAGCCCCGTGTCAGGCTCTGCACTGGGCGTGGAGCCTGCTTAAGATTCTCTCTCTCCCTCTCCCTCTGCCCCTGCCCCTACCCTCACCACCCACCCCCCCTGCTCAGCGCACATACTCTCTCCCTCTCTCTCCTTTAAAAAAATAAAATAAAATAAAAATGGAAACCAACACACTCAGTTTAAAACAGAACTGCAGAATCACAAAACTCCCTGGAGGAGTTTGGAGCACATGCTTACAGGAGCTGGTTGCGAAGAGTCGGGAAAGGTGGGAAAACAAAGTTTCTGCAGAAGACAACTGAAATACATGTGCTCGACTAACTTTGAGTGTGTACATAACTCAAGCACAAGGAACTGTTATGGGTTGAAGTGTGCCACCCCAAAATTCCTATGTTGAAGTCCTAGCTTCCAGTACCACAGAATGTGACCTTATTTGGAAATTGTCATTATAGAGGTAATTGAGATAAAAGGAGGTCATCCAATATAACTGGTGTCCTTTTATTTTTTTTAAAGATTTTATTTATTTATTTATTTGACAGAGAGAGACACAGCGAAAGAGGGAATGCAAGCAGGGAGAGTGGGAGAGGGAGAAGCAGGTCTCCTGTGGAGCAGGAAGCCCAATGCGGGGCTTGATCCCAGGACCCTGGGATCATGACCCGAGCCGAAGGCAGACGCTTAACGACTGAGCCACCCAGGTGCCCCAACTGGTGTCCTCTTAAAAGGCGGAAATTTGAAGACACATATGCAGGAAGGATGCCGTATGAACATAAAGACAGCCATCTATCTACAAGCCAAAGAAAAAGGCCTGGGACAAATCTTTCCCTCCTGGCGCTCAGAAAGAACCAACACTGCCAACAGCTTGACTTCAGACTTCTAGCCTCCAGAACTATGAGACACTAAATCTCTATTGCTCAAGCCACTCAGCTTGTGGTACTTGGTTAGAGCAGCCCCAGCAAACTAACACCGTGATAAACGCACTGAAGAAAGGGTGTACGATTTTCACTAAAGCAAAACAGGTGTGCGGTCCTATTGAATTTTGCTTTCTTGAGGTTCACAGATACTGTGTTTTTTACAAACTGCAGGTTTGTGGCAACCTTGCATTTTTTTCAACATTTGCTCACTTTGTGTCTCTGTGTCACATTTTGGTTATTCTCACAATATTTCAAACTTTTTAAATTATTATTTTATTTGTTACCGTGGTCTGCAATCTGTGATTATGACTCGCTGAAAGCTCAGGTAACAGTTAACATGCTTTTAGCAATAAAGTATTTTTTAAAAGATTTATTTATTTATATTGGGGGGGAGGGAAAGAGTCTTTTTTTAAAGATTTTATTTATTTCTTTTTTTTAAAAAGATTTTATTTATTTGTTTGTCAGAGAGAGAGAGAGCACAAACAGGGAGAACGGCAGGCAGAGGGAGAAACAAGCTCACCGCTGAGCAAGGAGCTGGATGCAGGACTCAATCCTAGGATCCTGGGATCATGACCTGAGTCTAAGGCAGATGCTTAACTGACTGAGCCACCCAGGCACCCCAAGATCTTATTTATTTCTTTGAGAGAGAGAGAGCATGCGCATGAGAGAGAGCGAGCAGGAGCTGTGGGGAGGGGCAGAGGGAGAGGGACAAACAGACTCCCCGCTTGGCAGGGAGCTTGAGGCAGGGCTGGATCCCCATCGCAGGACCCCAGGATCACAGCCTGAGCCCACGGCAGATGATTAACCCACTGAGCTACCCAGACAACCCTAGGGAGAGTATAAAAAAAAAAAGATAATTTTTTTCTAAGATTTATTTATTTATTTGAGAGAGAGAGAGACAGAGATAGTGAGAGAGAGCATAGGCGAGGAGCAGAGGGAGAAGCAGGTTCCCTCCTGAGCAGGGAGCCCAACGTGGGGCTGGATCCTAGGACCCCGGGATCATGACCTATCCGAAGGCAGATGCGCAACCGATTGAGCCACCCAGATGCCCCTGATAATTTTTTTTAAGATTTTATTTATTTGTCAAAGAGAGAGAAAGAGCACAAGCAGGGGGAGCGGCAGGCAGAGGGAGAAGCAGGCTCCCCACTGAGCAGGGAGTCCGATGTGGGTCTCGATCCCAGGATCATGACCTGAGCCCAAGGTAAACCCTTAACTAACAAAGCCACCCATGAGTCCAGGAAAGAGAGTCTTAAGCCAACTCCACAGTGAACATGGAGCCTGGTGCTGGGCTCTATCTCAAGACCCTGAGATCACAACCTGAGCAGAAAGCAAGAGCCTGACACTTTAACCAACCGTACCACCCAGGCGCCCGAGCAATAAAGTACTTCTAATTAAGGTATGCACATTGTTTTTTTACACATAATGCTCTTGCACATTTAATGGACTACAGTACAGTGTAAATATAACTTTTATTTGCACTGGAATCAAACATTTCATTTGACTCCCTTCATTACAATGTTCGCTTTATTGCAGTGGTCTGAAACCAAACCCGCAATATCTCTGAAGTCTCCCCAAACAGTTGACCCTTGAACAATGCAGGGTTTAGGGACACCAACCCCCTGAGCAGCAGCAAATAAGCACATACCTTTTGATTCCCCAAAAACTGAACTACTACTAGCCTGTTGACCAGAAGTCTTACCAGTAACATAAACAATCGAGCAACACTTATTTTGTAGATTAATATATATTATATACTGTACTCTTATAATAAAGTAAGCTAGAGAAAACACTTAAAAATCATAAGGAAGAGAAACTACATTTACAGCACTGTACTGAATTTATTTTTAAAAATCCATGTATAAGTAGACCCACCCGACTCAAACCCGGGTTGTTCCTGGGGCAACTGTACCTCTCACTAAAAGACCAGGCTGGCCCCTCCCCGGCGGGGAGGAGTACTGAGGAGGGTCAGTCAGGTGGAGGGCATTTCAGTGTGTGCGCGCTGCACCTTACAGGACGCTGAGTGCTTGACTTCCACAACTGCTGATGGCTCTCGCTAAGTAGCAGGAAGAAAGCTTGGTCTGAAATGTACGAGGAACTCAGATGGCAAGAGGATTCCTAACAGAAAGAGGCCACGGTCACCAAAATGACAGGGAAAGAAAGCAGACAAAATGCGGACGAGGTTGACAGGGAGAAGAGAAAGAGGCACAGAAAAAGAGAAGACAAATTAAGAAGAAAACAGAAATTCGGTCACCAAGAAATGGCATATCGTACAGTCATAAACATATAAAACACAAAACCCATAAGATGTTCCTTCCAAAGAAATACAGGTTCATTCACCTGGTGATTATTGTTCGTTCACATAAAATTCGAACCGCCGCTCACAGCCGTCCCACTCTGGTCCTCACTCTTTTCTTCCCAAACGTCCAGGTCCACCACTAGCTGCATCACAGCCATGCAGCGCCCACCCTTCCTGCCCCCCAACGCCAGTTCACTACCGTGTCCCTCCTCCGGCCACTCTGATTTCAGATGCAACTGGCTCAGCCAGAGGGGAAAAAATGATCGCTTTGGATACGACAAGGTGTGCCAGCCTCAAGGAAATGCCTTTCAGTCCCTCCTTCCCACTGGTGGGGCGTGGCTGCCGGCAAAGGATGGAGTTTGGGCGGGCTCCCCACAAAGGGAAGTCTGTGGGCACGGAGGTTTCCGGGACTCACCACACACTAGCCAGCAGGAAACCTCTGCTGAAACTGTAAAAGCTGCACTTGTTACTGATATACTTACTGAGTTCCTCCTCTAGTGATTGCTACATGGTCAGGTATAAAGGAGACGTTGAGTCCAAGTGAAAAATGGAAAGTCATATTATAAAGCGCAACAGCGCCACCTCATGCCCGACCTTATAGCAGCAGCCTTCATGGGTGCTGTAAAAGGTCCGGATTTGATCAGGATTTAGCTTGATGAGTCCTCTCCTGGGATAATCGCAACCTCCAGGCTTTGCTGGGGAATCGCTAAGGAATAAATGGAAATACAAGTATCAGTAGTAGGTAATCTGTCATTAGCATATGCTTTCTAAATACATTCTGGGCTCTTCTCTAGGGATATAGCGTAAACGAAAGTAGTTCTATTACCTGCCCACATGGAATTTACAATCAGAGGAAACACGAAAGAAAATACAGGGCTGAAAGAATTCCAAATTAGATACTAACACTTAATACAAGTTCTATTAATGAAATGCGGGTCACAGATAACTTAAATAGGGGACCAGTTTGCTCAGCACTGATAGCATACCAAAAAAGCACCTATTTACAACAGAAAGAATTTAGGTACAGTGTAACGTGAAGTATTTAGAGACTGAGGTACTTTAATTCTCTAGAGGCTTCTCTACTGAAATTTGTCTTCCTTCAGAGCTCTTTTAAAATTGGATGAACTGGGGGACCTGGGTGGGTCAGTTGGTTAAGTGACTGCCTTCGACTCAGGTAATGATCCTGGGGTCTTGGGATCGAGTCCCGAGTCGGGCTCCCCCTGTTCTGCAGGGAGCCTGCTTCTCCCTCTCCCTCTCCCTCTGCTGTTCCCCCCCGCTTGTGTTCTCTCTCTCTCCCTCTCTCTGTCAAATAAATAAATCTTTTTTAAAAAATTGGATGAACTATACTAAATGTCACTGAATTGTACATTTAAAATGGTTCATGGGTAACTTTATGTTATATGAATATTACATTAATTTTTTTTTTAAAAAGGACGAAATCTCATCAGCCAACTGTTCTTCCCATCTGTTAGGACATGATTGATTTTAATAAAAGCCAAGTGAACTGATCTGAGCCTCATATTATGCAATCTCCTACTCTGCTTTCCCAAGCATCGGAATCTCCTGAGGCAGAGGCTGGAGCTTGCTCATATTTGTAATTCGTGCAGCACCCTATTAGACTGCTATATCCCCACTCTAATTTACAGAATTTTGTCTAAAAATCTCATTACTGTGAAGGAACTATTACAGTGATAGAAGTTACAACCTCTAGGACAGGGATTTTTTTAAAAAGCAAAATACAACAAAGAGGAAGAGGCCAGAATTTACTCTCCAATTTTATTGAGCAATTCAAATAAAAGATGAAAATATTTTAAATCTCTGAGATAGAGAAAATTCTGGAAATAGCAATGCTCAGACCCAGAAACACCTAAGTACATACTAGATACAGTGCTAGTTAAACAAGGTATAAACAGAAGGTCTCATGTTTATACTCATGAATAGTGGCTAGATATCCGTTATTTCTTTTTTTCTCTACAAGTGTTCATTCCCTTATAATTTCAATTATTGCCTCTTTCTCAAATGTCTGGCCCTCTGACTCATTTTCAGCAAAGCTTCTGTCCCACCATTCCTGCCAGGTGGTTATTTCTGCCTCACGGTTAATTCATTAAGCGTTGGTTTGAGTGCTCATTATCTGCTCTGCTCATGTGAAGTGTTGAACTGTAGGAATTCACATTGAAATATCCACCGGAGACCTCTTCATTCTGCAGTTTACTCCAGACACGCCTTCACTATATTCTGCTCTCCTCGGAACTCCTGCAACAGCCATCCGTTCATGTGTTACTTAGCACATTCTTTCTTGTTCTTCTGCACTTGTGAGGGATCCCCCGCTTGGAATCTGGTGCGGTGGATACTCCTGAAATCCATTTACGTGAGGCCTGGAGAAACCCCTGGGAAATCATTAATTATAAGGAAAAAGAGAGTCGGGGCAGGACTTACAACTGAGTCCTAAGGAAAGGAGACTGTAACTGTAACTGGTAGAGTTATTTCACAAAGCAACAACATCAACAAACTATATTAGACCCTGGGTAGCGTTGCTTTGGAACTGTTTCAAAGGCATTTAACACAGAAGTGACGCAGACAGATTCTCCAACTTTATCTGAAAATGCAGCCCAGCTTCACCCTGGGAGGGCAGCGGCCTGCTGAAGCCTACCTGGAAGGCTTGCGCCGCACAGAGAAACAGAGCGATCCTGATGGGAGGCTGTAAATGGAGTCAGCAACTGTCTCTGCGGCAATGCCTGGCACCTAACTGGGGCTTCTCAGGCCTTGAGAGGACAGTAGACATCAGCAGAGTGAAACTAAGGCAGAGAAGGAAACCGGTAGACTCCACGTAGGAGCCGGGATTTGCATTGGCAAAAATTTACAATTTATTCCACTGCCCTGAGGACATCCAGGGCCAGTTGAGGAACTGGTTTTTGAAACAATTCTGAGGTCCTGCAACTAACTAAAGACAAAAACAAAAGAACGTGGGCTATCACTATCAGTATGACCTCATGTTTAACCCAGGGTGGTGTGTCCTAGGAAATGTGGACTATGGGTATTTAAATTTGCATGCATACATTGTTTCTTTTTCTGTTGCCGAGGCAGCAAATTACCACAAATCCAGTGGCTAACACAATACAAAATTATTATTTTACAGTTCTCTAGGCCAGAAGTGGAACATTCATCGCTCTAGGCCAAAATCAAGGTACTGGCAGGGCTGTGTTCCTTTCTGGAGGCTTTTAGAGAAAATCTGTTTCCTTGGCTTTCCCAGCTTCTAGACCTCCCACATTTCTCAGTTGAGCCAGCAATGGCCAGTCTAGTCCTTCCCACATCACACGTGTGTTTCTCTGACCCCTATTCTATCATTATCTCTCTGTCTCTGACCACAACTGAGAAAGTTCTTTACTTGCGAGGACTCATGTTTTGTTTAGATTGGGCCCACAGGATAATTTCCCATCTAAAAAGTCTATAACCTTAGTCACATCTGTGGAGTCCCTTCTGTTGTGGAAGATGACATAACCACAGCTTCTGAGGCTTGGATTATGAACTCTCAGGGCGTGGCAGGGCGTTATTCTGCCTACCACACATTGCTTGGTTGAGACTTTAGCATAAGGTCCATATCTCATACCTCTTTGTACTGTTTCCTGCAAATAGTGAGCAATCATAAGTGTTGTTGACCACAAAAGGAGTATCTCACTTGCCAACTACTTTTATTCTGGGAAAGAATATTCATATTCCCCATGGGGAGAAATGTGATGATTTGAGGCATTATGCCAACCATATGCTCCACTCATTTCTTCCTTGCCTTTTTCTCCCAAGATTCCCAAGATTCTCATAGACTCATTCAGTGTAGTTTAGAGATCAGTGACCTACAGCTAGTTTCCACAGCTTACACCAACTGGGACGGGTTGACTTTTCTGAGTCTCAGATTTCTCATTCGTGAAATGAAGAGGATGGAGGAAATTAGCTCCAAGTTTTTGTCAAGTTTTGCATCCTATGATTCCCTAACCCTTGAACACAAAAAACTCCTCTGCTTCAAATTCTTGCCCACTGATGACATCTCTGGCAGGTATTCATCCAGTTCTGTCTAAACTTCCTCAATATGAGCAGCTGCTACCAGGCCCCTCATTCCATCCATAACAGCTCTGCTAACTAGAAAATTATTCCTCATACTAAGTTAGCTTCACTAACCTGCAATTTATTTGTAAAATGGAGGTGAAAAATATCTATCTCATCAGGTTGTTGAGTAGTTCATGTAAGAAAATATACTTGAAAGTATTCAAAAATCAAAAGCACTATATAACTGTTAACTGCCATATTATTATCTGATACTATTGATAATAACAATCTAGGTTATTATTAACCTCTCTTTGTGCAATCTGTGATGGGTTGTACACTTATTTTTTTAATTATATCTTATTTATTTCAGCCCCCTTCAGGCAAAACATTAAAGATAATCCTGAATCCATCTCTGACTTACACTCTGCTGGCTATAGTATTGAGACATGGTCAACCACAAGTTGATTTAAAAAAAAAAAAAACTATTAAAAAATTTCTACATACCTCATAAGGCACCTGGCTGGCTCAGTTGGTAGAGTGTGCGACTCTTGATCTTGGGGTTGTGAGTTCAAGTTTAGATTATTAAGATGTCATTTCTAACCAATCATACTTTGTAAACATAGCAATAAACAATCTTTGGTGAGCTAACAAACAGAAAGTTTGTAAGTGAGCAAAGCTGAGGACCTGGTTTCGTCATGACCATGCCCCTACCAAGTGCAGCATGAATAACGGACTAGTCTTTTTGCAGGTCCTTCCTTTGCCTTGCACTACAATGTGGCATAAAGAGAAAAACATAGATCCTATAGCCAATCAGACCATGATTGAAACCCAGATTCACCTCTTAACACTTCCTGCTTTGGAATTGTGGCAGACTGTGGGAGATTCTGCTCACTTAACTTATTTCTTCTCTCCAGGTGCAATTAAGGGCTTGCTCGGCCCCCTTAAATCTAGGTACTGCCATGTAACTGTCTCTCGCCCATGGACTCTGAGCATTAGTGATATGTCCCTCATAGTCTGAAACAGACTTGCTGTCTCATTGCCCCATCTCCTGGCTGGATGGCAGCAGGACAAGCTGAAACCACACATTCAAGACGACAGAGCTACAGAACGGAAGGAGACTATTCCTAAGTAGCCCAGGGGAGGAAAACTGCCCCGGGGGAGCAACCTAACCAAACATGTCTGTAAGAAAAAAAAAAAGTGTATTCTATTAAGCCACAGAAATTTAAGATTGGTTGTTACAGCAGCTCACATTAATTACCCTGAGGAATGCAAGCATACTAGTTTTTCAGAGCTCCTGGTTTCCACATCAGTAAAAGGGAAGTAGAATATCTTGCAGTAAAGGTAGAAGATAATATATTTACAATGCTTGGTACCTAGGTTACTTTAGTGAGAGCTATATAAAGTAGGAGGAAAATATAAAGATATGCTTGTACTTTTATCTTGAAATATGTAAAAATGAACTTTCACTAAAATTCACTATGTTTTCATATGAAAGTGACAATGGCACACTCTGCATCTGTTTGTCAGAGTGTCCATGTATCATATATGGAAGACAAGGGATCCTGGGGAAAAAAAAATGGCAATCACGTGAAACAAAGGAATTAATCATTTGTAATATGTATTTGTTCATGTTTAACATAATGCAAACTGTGATGATATCGTTGTGGTTCATTTTGTAAAATCAAAACCATTAAATAGTATAAACAGAGCAATACTTTGACATGAGAAGGGGAGTAATACTGAAAACCATGTGTCTTATAGTGAGCATTACACAGAGAAGTTGAGTCACTAGGCTGTATGCCTGACACGAATGTAACACTGTATGTCAACTATACTCAAAAAAACTACAAGTGAAGAAAAGGAAAATAAAGAAAAAAAATTGTCCTATTCAGGATTACTGTTTTAACAACCATCAAAGTACTTAAGGGAATTGTCACATTTAAAATATTATACATTTTCCTTTTATAAAGGCAGGTCTCCTAAATTTGCTCTTTTCTGTGGTCAGTGACTGGCAGGAGTATGCTACCAAGCAGATAGTTTTAGAAAAAATGAACATCTTCAAAGTAAAAGTGATTTTTTACAAGGAGTAAAACTGTTCACAATGAGTAAAAATGGAATTTTTTTGAAAAGAACCTTTGCTATGGAGTTTCAAAATAGGTTTTTGGAAATGTTACTGTTCATCATCTTGTGTTTTTGTTTTGTTGCTGAAATATAATATTGCTCACATATGAATTCATATTTACATGCTGTAAAACTTAAAAGAATTTTCTAACCTCTTTAAAAGTTATCTAGTTTCCATTCATTTTGAAAGTTATTGTTATGTAACTGGTTTACGCAAAGTATTTTGATATCAAGTAAATGGAAATTTTCTATGCAAATTTCAACAAAAACACTTATATAATTGGTCGATGGAGTAAAAAGTATATATGAAAGAGGCAAAATATTTCTCTTCCATTTGAGCCCATATATTCTTTTCAGCTATTCCAGCCAAAGAAATCAACTATCAAATTAAAATGAACAAAGAAATAGAATAAGCCAATAGCTTTACAAATAATGAAACATTTTAAATCACCATACTGATTTAACTATCTTAGTAAGAAGCTTGTTACATTAATAAAAAATTTTTGCACAATATTTCATCTTTCATCTTTATTTTTTATGTTTCATAACATATGCTATAAGTATATACTCACACATACATACATGGGGTTTATATATTAAAAGTATACATGTTTCAGGGTGCATGCTTACTTTAAAAATTTATTCAAATTGATTTATCTATTAGAATAGATGATTAAAAGAACAGAGAGATGACTGCTCTCAATGGTAGTGATATTATCTAAAATTTACATAACTTGACATGGAATTACTAGCAAGTATCATGACAAAACCTCTACAATGGAGTCTTCTGTTTATTAACTTCAGGGAATTTATTCCTGAGAGTAGTGGCAGGATTAAAAGACAATCCCCCTGCACCCTCTAAATTAGAAATACACAAATGGGCATTGTGAGGAGTTAAGATTGAGAAGGGAAATGCAAATCAAAAGCACCGGAAAAGTCTTCCTGGGTTTTATCTTTCAACTGCCGTCATATCTGTAAGGGAAGATGGTACTGATATAATTAACAACCACTATCTCGATATCCACCGATTGCTGCTTGTTTGGGAGATGGAAATGATTAACTGCACATGGCACCAGCAGTTTAATGTCTAAGAAGAAAGGGGGGAAAGGACGAAGCA